CGTTGCAAGTTCGAGACCAGCCTGGGCTACAAAGTGAGCTCAAGGCCAGCCTGAACTGCATAGCGAGACCCTGTCTCAAAAAGACAAAAAACAACAAAAAAAGGCAACAGGGATGTGACACGAGAGTCATGAGTATTAATGGAAATTATAGGAATTCTAAGAATCTTGGCAGTTTCTGGGGAATTTAGGAATCTAACAAACAAAGTCAACCTTTTTTTGGGTACAAAATCTTCCAATCAGGAAGAAATAATTTCCCTTACATTCCAGAGCTTACTCAGCTTAATGAGCTGTCAGGTTTTACCTGTATTCCTCAAAAAAAGATACACTGCTAGCCATGCATGGTGGTGCATGCCTGTTATCCTAGCACTTGGGAGGCTGAGGCAGGAGGATCAGTGTGAGTTTGAGGCTACTCTGTTTCAAACAAACAAGCAAGCAAAAGATATGTTGAAGTTCCAACTCCTGGTACCTCAGAATGTGATCTTGTTTGGAAATCGGGTCATTTTAGTTGTAATTAGTTAAAATGAGGTAGAGGGAGGTGTAGCTCAATGGTAGACCAATGGAGACCACTATGAAGCAGACCTGAGCAGGACTTAAATTAATCAGTTGGTTTTTCATGTTCACTGTGAACCTGTCCAAGGCCTAGGCTCCTTGTCTGGAAATGGTGGATGCATAGTAAATGAACCTCCGTGAGTCATTAATCCCTACTAAAACCTGTAGTGGTGGATGAAGCCAGAAAACCTCAAAGGATAAGACAAGATCACAGCCAAGGACACCTGGATCAGATCTCGACTGCATAAACATTGTAGCCTCAGGCATCTTACTCCTGGGTGGATTAACTTAATACCTTGGAGAAATCCTTGAGTGCTTCCCCCCTTCTTGAGTACTCCTCTCCCTTCTTCTGATAATGAATAAATGCAAGTGACCTAGAGAAGGTCTTGGTCTTAGCCCTGAGAGAATCTTGAATTCTGTGAGAGGGCTTTGATCCTCCTGGAGCCCTGAAATCAAGACAAAAAAACAAAAAACAAACCAAACAAACATATGCTTTTATTTAGCCTTTGCCGTACACTCATTCAGGAGATTGTGGACCTGATCAGCCTGCAATAACTAAGGGATATTATTAACCCAATAGTAGACCACTGCCTAGTGTGCATTGATACCCTGGATTCAATCCCCAATACCACACAAACAAGCAGACAAAAAGGTGAAGATTCCAGATACAATGGCAGTGCCTGAGTCCCAGCTGCTGCCCTTGGCAGGCTGACATGGAAGGATCCCTTGAACCCAGTTGCATGGCAACACGGCAACACCTCAACCTGAAAAACAAAATACACTACATCATACTAGACAGGGTAGTTGCTAATCCAGTGTGACTGTCATCCTTTTAAGAAGATGGCCATGTGCAGATGAGGCACAGATTGGATAGCGGGAGCCATCTCCATGCCGAGGAAGCTGTCACTGAAAGCTAGGAGAGAGGCATGGGACAGATGCCCCTCAGAGCCCTCAGAATCAAAGCCAATGTATTGATTTCAGACTTCTGGCGTCCCGAAGGAGGAGAGAATAAATATCCATCACTTCATGCCTCTCTGTTCGTGGTGATTTGTTGCAGCAGTCCCAGGAAACTAACAAATGAAAGTTATGCCTAAAGACACCTGGTGATGTCTCAGAGAGGGTGCAGTTTGCTGGCAAGAAGCAACTTAGCACTTCACTGCACAGCGCAGGCAGCTTCTCAGCCTCTTGGAACCTCGGCTTCCTCATTTGCAAAACGGAGATGCCCCGCCTGGAGAATTCAGAAGGAACTTTCAAGATGCACTTAGCAGCTGGGCGTGGTGGTACACGCCTGTAACCCCAGCACTTGGGAGGCTGATGCAGGAAAATCATTGTGAGTTAGAGACCAGCCTGGGCTACAAAGTGAGCTCAAGGCCAGCCTGAACTGCATAGTGAGACCCTGTCTCGAAAAGACCAAAAAAAAAAAAAAAAAAAAAAGAAAGGAAAAGGAGAAAGAAAAAGAGATGCACTTAGCAGACAATAAAACTTCAGGGAAAACTCACTTCTTCTAATTATTA